TCTCAGACGGAGAGGCCAATTTATATTTTTCATTTTACGGCTGAGTTGCTACGTTCCTCAAACTTCAAGTCGCGCTTACCGTACCCCCGCCAGCAGAGATACAAAGATACAGCAACGACACCGCCGACACACAGAGACAAACAAAGAGCTCCCAACAACCCCACCCCCCACCCCAGCCCCATCGCCAGCCCCTTCCGCCGCAAACTCTCGCACTTGTCGCACTTTTTGTTGTTTTGTTTTGTTGTTTGTCTCAAGTTCAGTATTATTACTCATACGTCATGTAAACATGGCCAAAACGTTTCGTTCAAAAAAAAAAAATACCCAGAGAGAACTTCTGTTTGAGAGACAGACAGAACTGCAACGCAACCCCAACTCCAACCCCAAATGATACTCAATTCTAGACACTTTTTGTGCGATTATGTGGCATTATAAAATAATATTCGCAAAGTGACAAAATAAATGCCTCATTTTGGAGTCAGTGCGTGTTTAATTTTTCGTAGAGCTATTTACCTTTCAGATAACTTTAGCAAACACAAATAGTCAAAACGAAACAACCTCCGCTTCGATAATCCTCTCTCTCTATCTCTCTCTCTCTCTCTCTCTCTCTCTCTCTCTCTATCTCTTTGTTTATCCACAGTTCACAGATCGAATTTCTTTCAAGTGGGCCGCTCTTGCTTGCTTAGTATATCTTTAATTCCAATTATCCACAGAAAGTTTGTTGCACAAATATTTAAAAGACTTGACTCTTGAATGGTGTGCGGTGCGGGCTGGGTCTTGCATAATTACCGAACAGAATACACTCTAGATTTCATAATCATTGTGGAAGTTTTTCATTCATAAAACTCTGCAGTACTCGCACCGCTGGGCCCTTAACTGCAGAGGTGGCCACACCTCAAAAAGGGGCAAAAGAAACAATGTGTGAAATGCTATATAGGGTGTTACCATGCGGGCATTACACATCTTCAGCTATTGACTTGTCACATGGTCGTAAAATCCATCCAATGCCCCCCCAAAAAACTGGGTTACACATCAATTCGAAGGCTAAATATTACGCAAAGACAAAACAATGGTTTAAAGATCATCTTTTTGTTGTTGTTGGAGAAACAAGAACTACAGCCAACGATGGTCACCGAAATTAGAGTCTGGAAGCAGAAACCAACTTGAGAGCAAGCCTCGAAAGAGGGCGGCCACAAGCTCAACCTGGAAAATAAAGTCCTGATCTACAAAGCCCCTGTCTGGGAGCTGCGAAAACAAACCGGGCAAGAATCAGAAAAGGGCTGCGTTGGATCTCTAGTTCAGACATCGTCAGAGTCCTCTGCGTCCCACTTGTTGGCGATGAGGGGCCACCCAAACGTGCTGGCTCCCTCCGCCCAGCGCATCTGCCCAACGGGAGGATCTAGGATGGACCTAAGCCCTAAGAACTTGAGATAAAGACCCACATGCTACTGTCCCTGGACTGGAGCATGATTAAGTTGTATTCTCATTGTTTGAATTGTATCCCAACCCATACATCTCCATGTATCTCATTTTGCATTCGATTCTGCGTGTGGGTGCTTATTTTAGCTTATTTTGCTTTTGCATTCTCTGTCCAGAGTCTCGCTCGGACGCAGCATGCACTTGGCGTTTTATAATCCTAATCCTAGGTGGCGCAGTCGGAACGGACTCCAACAGCAACGACTGCCACACCATTGCCACTGTTTATGGCTTTCGCTTTCTATTTTTCCTCCTGATTTTCTTCCCTTAAATACCACTTCCAATACTCGCTCGATATTTGGCAGCGGAAGGGAAGAATACTCGTTGTCTGCCACAATAAACGTAGCTAAAAGCAAACAACAAGGTGGCAAGCAAAAACCTCGAACAAGAGACGACCCTACAACAAATGCGTGCAACATCTATCAGCACCGCAGACTCGGGCATTGCACCCTTGAAAACGCTCTGGGCAGCAGGGAATCGATGAACATAATTCTCACTTAGTTTTCCATAAAGTTTTATTTTCTAAATTTGTATCTTGGAATCTAATACGCCACGCTTTTCGCCCCTGACCCTGGACTAAGAGTATTCTCGGATTTACGCTGGCAAATTCCAGCCAAAAACGGTCTTTCTCTGGCTTTGGCTTGTACCAAGAATAAATTTGCATTCAACACCGTGCCCCGAGTCGCTCCAGTCAGGCAAAAACTTGAAATGAGGTAAGTTTCAGCCAGGAAAATGGTTTCCCAGAAGTAGAGTCCAGATTTTACCATTATAATAATTAACTTTACTTTATATATTCGGACGTCGGAGTCTACTTTTAGGAGATTCTTTTTTTTCAAGTTTTCATTCGAATAAAGTTCCACGAAATGCCCACGGATGGCGCCACTTAATGCACTGACGTCAATGCAACGTGAAATAGAGAGAGAGGGAAAGAGAGAGAGAGAGAGAGAGAACTCCCAGAGAAATATATATACATTTACACCTTTAAGAGCTTCAACGTCAACTTTTTACTTTGAATAATTTTGAATCTTTGAGTGGCTTGCCATTACAGAATCGGTCGGGAATTATCTGTCAATTTGTATCCAAATTTTGGGAAATTTAGTAACTCATTCGGTACGAATGCTCACACGGAATTTGGACGCTGTCGGAGGGGTTTTTGTTCTAGCAGCAAGGGCCGCGGCTCTACTTTTACACCCGGTATTCAATCAGTTTATAATTAAGCTTATATGTAACATGTTTAATGTGTTTTGAATATTATTATACCCGTCTCTCTCTCTGTCTTTTGGTATCGGCTTGTTGGCTAATGCTAGGAAGGGGTTCGGCTCACGCTTGTCATAGGAGATGGTCAAAAACATAGAGAGAAAGAGCGCTATCATATTAAGTCCTGCACTTCGAGTTTTGAAATATTTTTATTTAAATGTTTATTGATCCATTTGTGCGCCACAGTTGTCTCTCTCTGGCACGTTTCTCACACCAAGTTCAGCTGTGTTGCTATCTCGCTCTCCTCCGACAGGGGATGCACCTTGCACGATGAAGATGCATGAGAGAGAGAGACAAAAGATTTGTGAACGCGTGGACGGGGGGCGGCGGCAAATAGATTTGTTCATTCTAGCTATAATAATGATCCGATCTAACCCAGATTCGGCCATCTGGTAGATATGGTGTTTTCGTGTCTTTATGCCAAAGTGTTTTGGGCGAGGCGAAACTTTTAAATGCACTTGTAACAGTGCGATATCTCTGAAGCTATAGCTCTACTAGACTCTGAGAACTAGGCAGCAGACAAGACGGATAGACAGACGACTCTTGGGGTCGGAAACGCTTTTCTCTGGGCGTTAAACATCACATCCACACATCATCCACCACAAAACTATTCCCCTAAACCATTCCAATATCTATAGCCACCGTCCTGGCAAATTGGACGTCGAATGAGCTTATGGGGCGCCACATCATTGGTTTATCATCCACAATGGTGCTCTCTACGGCACTTCTATCTTCCTCCCAGTGTGGCTTAGCTGAGCAGGCGTATCACCTCTCTCTTTCTATCTCTTTCTTCCCGCTCTCTCCCAGCGTAGCTGGCTCTCTCTCTCTCTCTTCATCGCTTGCCCTCTCCCAGTAAGAAACGTTTTTAAATTGTTTTTCTTAAATTTTATTTAATTTCATTTAGTTGCTTTTTTGACATATAACAATTCAATATTCCGTCTCAATCGTGATTAGAGTAGACATTAAATAAACTAAAAACTAAAGTTGGTAAAGAAATAAGGAAATAAAACGAAATGAAATTATTAAAAAAAAAAATAAAAAAAGAATACACAAAATGCATAATAAACAACATGTCACAAAACAATTTTTTTCTTACAGTTTTCTTCTTTCACATTTTCGATCATCGCTCTCTTAAGTGCGAGATATTTTCGACTACAATTTGACAGGCAGATTAACACACAAGAAAAAAGCGAACACATCAATGGATTCTCAACTTCAAAACACTTAGACGCTAAGACTGGAAAGTGGATTAGTTTTTTTGGGGGAGATTTGGGAGGAGTTTGGAGGAGGATTCTGGAGCGGGATTTAAAGCGGGATCTGGGAGAGGGTTCTTTCATCGTCAGGACGTCGGGGCCGTTGTCTTAGTTCGTAGTCTCAACCTTGATCTTGTCGTCGCTAGTCTCCTTGACCTTTACCACGGGAAGTGGATCAGCCAGGACCTTAGCTTCTTCAGAGGCAGCTGGTTTTGGCTCTTCGGCGGTGGCTGACACTGGTTTAATCTCTACTTTAACCTCCTCAGAGGCGGCTGCAACTGGTTTTACCTCTACTTTGGGTTCTTCAGAGGCTGCTGCAGCGGGCTTAACCTCCACTTGAATCTCTTCGGAGGCGGCTGGTACTGGTAGAACCTCTTTAGCCTCTTCAGTGGCAGGAATGGGCTTAGCCTCCACCTTAACCTCTTCAGAGGCAGCAGGAACGACTGGAATCTCTACTTTGGCCTCCTCAGAGGCAGCCGCAACCGGTTTAATCTCTACTTTTGCCTCCTCAGAGGCAGCAGCCTTGACCTCCGCCTCGGCCTTCGCCTCCGTGGCCTCCTTTTCGCTCGTCTCGCGTTTCTTGTGCAATCTGCTGGGCAAATTCTGAGTGCAGGAACAGGGACACATGCACTGATCCTTGGGGGCGCCGCCTGTGAACACCGAATGCAGGCTGAAGGCATTCGGTATGGCCGCTGGCTGCACGCCCAGCGGGAAGGGATCGACAATGCTGTTCTGCTGCTTGTCGCTTGTGTATATGGAATTCTCATCGCAATTCGAGTAGTACTCCTGTGGCAGGATCACAACCGGCATGAGAGCGATGACGGCGCCCTTGGGTATCTTATCCGGCGGATAGAAGGCCGGCTGTCCCGGGGCTTGGGGTATCACGGGCAATTGTGTGAGTGACATGGCATTGATTATGCTGCCAAAGTTCGCTTGTCCATTGAAGCCGGAAAATTGTTTGTTAAAGTCAACAGAGGCAGGATTTTGGGGATAGTTGTTACTAGTGTGGGAGTGGGTGCTTGTGGTGCTTTGAGTGGTTTTCGATGAGTGGTGCGTCTTATCGTTGCAGACACAGGTGTCGCCGCTGTTCGGATACGCAGGCACATGCAATGGTGGAGAGGGACGTGGCGTTACTTTTGGTTCAACAACATAGGATTGTTGTGGTCGTGGCGTCGTCACCGTCGGCGTCTGTGGTACGGGTTGTCTGTACGGCGGTGGCTGTTGGGGCACCTGTGGCGTATGGTATTGTATGGGTGGACTGGAGACCTTTTCGAAGGGTCTGGGCGTGGATGGCTGGTAGACAGTGGGTCTGGGAGTCGTTCGTGGAGTCGTTTCGTATCGTGTCACCACTGCTGGAGTGGGCGGTGCGGGTGGTGTGTGCGGTACAACGTTGTGCGGTCTCTGTGGTACTGTATGGATATCAATATTACCGATTGTTACTGGTGGCTTATTATCCTTCTCAATAATGATAGCCGGGACCTTTGGCTGTACAATCGTTGTTGTCGTTTGGAATGGCGGAACGGGAACAGGAACGTTGGGAACAGGAACGGGAACATGGTGTTGGGAAGGTGGTGGTGGTTGAGGTTTTTTTGGTTGTGGGATAGAAGGAGGAATATAGGTTAGTGGTGGCTTTGCTGTGGCTGTGCTTGTGGATGGTTTCTTTTGCACATAATCATTATTCTGTTCGTAATTGGGCTTGAAATTGATTACGGGTGACTTCGGAGGTGGTTCGATCTTAATGGTCTGTGAGTAGGATGGTGGGGGTGGTAGCGAGATTTTACCCGGTTGATCTGGCGGCAGGTATCCGGGTGTGTCCTTGTCCGAATGCCTGGGATCGGTGGGCGGTACACGGTTGCCGTTTGGTGGTGGTGGCCCCGGTGGTCCTGGGCGGTCGGGTCCGGGTGGTCCCGGGCGGTCGGGTCCGGGTGGGCCAGGGCGACCGGGTCCGGGTGGGCCGGGAGGTCCTGGGCGTTGGGGTCCTTGCGGGTAGAAAATTATCAAGTTAGTTTTGTCTTTTGTGAGGCTGGGAAAAGGGGCGGATCTTACCCGGTGGCCCTGGTGGTCCTGGACGAGTGGGGCCGGGTGGGCCGGGAGGTCCATATGGTCCTGGCCTGGTTGGCCCCTGAGGTCCGGGTGGGCCGGGAGGTCCAAAGGGTCCTAGAAAGAGGGTTCCTTTAGGTTTCGAACTAAAATGTTTAAGGGAAATGTGAGACCTACCTTTAGGTCCGGGTCTAGTAGGTCCATTGGGTCCGGGAGGTCCTGGATTTTATGGAATCGAAAATGAAAATGTAAAATACTTTCCTAGGGAGAGGTTGGTCCTAAAGGACTATGGTTTATTTTTATACCTGGTGGTCCAGGTGGGCCGGGTGGTCCGTTGGGGCCGGGTGGTCCTTTCGGGCCTGGTAAAAGTCATCAAACATTTAAGAATCATCCTTTAAGTGGTTTCCCTTCCCCGTTTTTCTTACCTCCAGGTCCCTTGGGTCCTCCAGGGCCGTTGGGACCGTTGGGTCCTACACCGCCGCCGTCGCCATTGCCGCCGTTGCCGCCCTCGCCGCCGTAGCCGCCCTCGGGTCCAACAATGTGGACATACGGAGGTGCTGGCGGACCGGTGGGGCCTTCAACGTGAACATATTTGCCCGAATCATCGTGATAATATTTGCCATCATTAATACCTAACCCAAAAGAAAACACGATGCATGAGTATATGGTACTCCAAGGGATCTGTGGCGCTATGGGGGGGCTTACCTTTGTAACGTCCATCTTCACCTCTATATTTACCGTTGCCTGGAGAGGAAGAGCGTGGGGGATGTGGAAATCGTTCGATTAGTAAACATTTCATACAAGTTTTGTATCAATTCAAATTAACTACTAGTACAGTTACTAGCTACACTAATCACTAACTACAGTAATCAGTAACTAAATTACAATACAAAAAAGTGCTACAAAAAAAAGGATACAATAAGAGGAGGGGACTACCGACACCACAAGAAAAATCATAACAACAAAAGCGGCAAACAAAAAATAAACAAGGATAATGGTTGGTTAGTATCAACATCTATATAGCGTATGGGGGGTGTTAGACCAGAAATCGATCGATCAATGGCTATCGATAGTATATCGATTATAAGTGAGGTTAAGGAATTAAAGGAGTTCTTTGGGTTAGTTTTCCATTAGTGTTCCATTGCTCAAGCATTTCATATTTTTTTCTTTTTTCCAGGTGCATTATTTGTACAATATATGACAGTGTATGTGTGTGTGTGTGTGTAGGTGTGTGGTCTGAATGTGTGTGTGTGTGTGTGTATCGGTGCAAGCATGATTGATATAAATATACACACATATATCTGTGTGTCTGTGTGTGTGTTTTTCATTTCGTTTTCAACTTTTTTTTTTTTTGTTTTGGGTGCATATAAAATATATAGAAAGGATTTTTGTGGAATTTGTGCGCTCATTTAAAAGAGAGAGAGAGAGGTGCTCTAAAAAAAAAATCGTGCCCTATATCGCCTAAACATATAGTATATAGTGTGTGGTTGGGTGCTTTCTGGATATTGAATATTTGCAAGAAAAAAAAAATCAAGGAAAATGAATAAGAATATTTATATATTGCTGATCTTTGGCTGAAAGTAAACGAAAGTAAACTTAAAATAGTTTAAAATTTAAATAGAATTATCATCTAAAAAGAGACATAAACATAAGTTAAGGGAATCGCTTAAAGAACTACGAGAAAAGCCTGGAAGGAAGCAAAATTTGAACGAACATTTCGGGGATCGTTGTGCCCTTGAAGATATCAGTTGTGAGTAGAAGACCCCTCGCTATATCCTCCACAGATCGTTCAAATTTTGATCTCCAGGGTGGGAAGGGGGGATGGGGGATTTGTTGTTGGTGGAGGGCTAACCTGATACGTATCCAATGGCCCCAGGAAAACCGGTATCGGTGTGCGTGTAGGTGCTCGTGTAGGTACCCTCATCGCCAGGACGATAGCCACTGCCAGCACCGACTCCAGCACCACTGCCCGTGCTATAGCGATCGCCAGCACCGACGCCGTTGCCATTGCCAGGGCTATAGCGATCGCCAGAGCCGAAACCGGAGCCGCTGCCGGGACCAGTAGCGTCGCCATTGGCATTATATTGACCCGATCCCAGGCCTGTGCGATCTCCATCCTTGTATACCGGTTTTCCTGAGGCTCCGCCTCCCGCGCCGACAGGGCCCAAGGGTCCTGGGGGTCCAGGGGGACCAAACGGCCCCTTGGGTCCATTGGGTCCGTTTGGACCGCCAGGACCGCCAGGACCGTTGGGTCCAAAGCCACCGAATCCTCCATTGCCGCCATTGCCGCCTCCTGAGCCGCTGCCGCCATTGCCGCCATTTCCGCCGTTGCCTCCGTTGGAGCCAACCACATGGTTATAAGGATTGCTATCCGGCTTGTATTGGCCATCATCTAAAAGAACACGAAAGACTAGAGTCCGTGGCCGGGAGGGGATCGCAGAGATCGGTTCTCACTGTTGCTGCCCGGAAGCAGGGTGTTCACAGAGTGGAAGGATGGCGCCTGATCCCCAGGATACTCGCGATGCGTGTGTCCCTTGTCGGTGCCGAAGAGCCCTGTGCCCTGGGGCACCAGCGGACCCGTTGGCTTGTGGATGGGCAGACTCTTCTGGTCGGAGCCCTTCAGTACCGGAATGTTCACCGAGAACGAGGGTATGGCATCCTTGCTACCCTCCTTTTTCTTATACTAGAAGATCGATATATCAGTGAGGATTTTATCTGGAGAGAGAGTGTTCTCTTCCTCCTCCTTTGCATCCTTACATCATTCTCCACAAAGTAGGGCACACCCGACTGGGCGCCGTTGGCAAACTTGCCGCATCCAATGGGGAAGTAGAGTTCGTGCCACTGCAGCAGAATTCCTGGCGCCGAGGGACCACCATCCGTCTCATTGTACAGATGTGGGGGGAAGGTCTCGACGGGCTTCTCCGGCTCTACTGTCCTATAGCCATGGGCATCGGCCACATAGTGTGTGGCACGGAGCAGATGGTAGGGATCGATCAGGCCGTAGCAGCCATAGGTGACGCCATCGGGTCCACGGGTCTCGTGATGGAAGTTCCCTGTCTTTCCCACATCATAGCCATAACGATAGGCGTCTAGTTTTTCGATCGTTTACGAATTTGTGGGTGGGTGTTTGTTTGTTTGTTTGTTGTTGTTGTTGTTGTTGTTGTTGTTGTTGTTGTTGAAAGAGTAATGTTTTAAGAGGTATAACTTTGGGTTTGTGGTTTGTGTTTGTGAGAATTTTGTATGTGACCCTGTAAAACCTGTAAAATGTTGCATAGATATCCCTAAGAATCTCTATCGACCTGGCTATCAGATATCTGTTACCTAAACTCTCTTCTGAACCTAGAAATCTTTCGTAAAAGGCGCTGGAAGCTGCAAAGGTTTCGTTTATCCAAAGGCATTTTAATAATAAGATGCCGAAGGAAAGGCACGAGAGTGTCCAAGCAAAAGGGCTCTCTTTGCTCTTGTTGGCTCTCAGATTTGAGCAAGCGAGAGAGTGCTGCCATGCTCACTGCAACTTTTTTGGTGTCCTTCGTTACATTTTATTATTATATTGCCTTTGGAATAATCCTAGCCATATATGAGATATATATTTGTATATAGGTAGTATTATAGTATATAGAAAATGTTGGTGTTTTTGTGTGCTGTTGTTGTTGAGTTGTTGTTGTTGTTTGTTGAAGTTTTGTTGTTGTAAAAACTTTTTTTTAACTAGTTTTTTTTTTGGTTGGGTTTCTTTTTTTGTTGTGATAGGAGGATATGAGTATGCAAAGCTTTTTTTCATTTAAAATTTCATGTTTTTCATACAAGAAAAGGTATGTAAAAGAGAGAGAGAGAGAGATAGTGGCATAGAGAAGGAAAAGAGACATATAGACAAAGAGAGAGAAAGAGGAGGAGAGAGAGATATAGATAGATGGTTGTTTGATTGATTGATTGATTTGATTGAGCGTATATATATATATATATTTACAATTTGAATCTACGATTTCTACTGGGGTGAAATTTTTAGTAAAGCTGCTACAAAAGAACATACTACAAAGGACATTCTAATGAAGAACGAGGGCAGTGGTAGAGGTAGGTTGGTGGGGTGGGGTAGGGGGTATACAAATACTTAAGACTAAGGTACTACTAGTACTAACAACTACATTAACAAATTGGTTTTATCTATGAAAAAAACACTAACTAAACTGCATGGAATGGGTGGATAGTGGGGTTTTTTTTTTATAGGATAGATACAAATACAAGGAGGTTCTACGAAAATACTTTACATAAATTAATGTTTTTTTTTTTTTTTTTTTTTTTGAATTGAATGTGATCTTTGGAATGGTTTTATAAGCAGCTTATTACAACGTTATAGACAGCGGCGCAATGGTAAAGGGAAGGGGAAACGTGTTCGTCACTTACTTGTGTCAAAGTTAGAGGAATAATATTGTTGATTCGTTGTCTTTTGATCGTTTATATCGAGTATAAGACGACGATTCTCTGCATCGAATTTGGCAGAGTAAACGCATTGCACCAAGAAGATGCAAGCGACGACCTGGAAAAGCCACAAAAGAAAATGATTAATGGAAACAGCTGTTGAAAAGATTTGTCACATTCAAGGCACGCCCACAAACTCTTTAAAATGTATGTCTTAACTACGGCTTTGGTTCGGTTTTTTTTTTTTGGATGACTCAAACAGGCAACAACAACAAAAGTTTGGGAAGTTTTGAGCTCGTTTTTACTGTTTCGTACCATCCCCGCAGCAGCCCCATTTAGATCCGGTTCGATTCGTTCCCAAAAAAAATGCCCCAAAATGTCAAAGGCATAAAATAATCAAAGCACAACATTCCTCGTAGCTTGTGGCTTCACTCGTCAAAAAAACGTTTTGACGGACGGTTTTTTGGCTTAAGACTAGAACTGGAACTTGATTTTAAATATGCTAATTTCCTTCGATTTGTCACAGTCGCTGCGAAAAATGTCAGCCACTCTGCCGACTGACTGAACGTTCAAGAAGAAACTTGAAACTTGGCTCCCACTGACAGACACTTTAATGGACAATTAGCCGAGTTCTTAATGCACTTGTCGACATTTTGGAGTGGCAGTCGCACTAATCAGTCGAATAATCATTGAATCTATGCCACATTAGTAACTACGGTTATGCTGCGTTTAGTTGGGAGTTTTGATAGTTCTTGGATTAGCATCGATTCTTCGTTCTCCATTGAGTTAATTTAATTCATTCCACAGTTCCGGATTTGTGGCCATTTCCTTATCAGAAACGAGTTATTTTATTAGAATTCATAAAAGGCAGTCATATTTCCTAAATATTGTAGAAGGAAAAGACCTTCACATTATGCTAAATACAATAATAGTTCGATTGGTTTATGATCTTTGATAGATTGAGACTGCGATTGAGAGCCTCCTCTTCAATCAGCCTCTAATTATGTGCCTCCATCTCTTCGTGTGTGTTTGTGGGTCTCTTCCCCATGCGAAACAAAAACACAATCTCGTACATCATCGCATTTGTAATATTTTGCGCTTGCATTCGAACACGAATGAACGTGTCTCCCAACAACACAAATCCCAACCGTCTGCCACTCGCTGTTGGAGTGGGTGTGCGCTAGAAAGAGAGAGTGGGAGACCGAGCTTATCTCTGAGCGGAGTCCACGAAAATCAGCATTGAAAAGGAGACGAACAAAAATGTGCATTGCTCAAAAGACGAGCAGAAACGAGCACTGGGCTGCGAATGTGTTGTTGTTTTTGTCTTCTTTTGTGCTTGAGAGGCAGAGAAACATTACAACGTAGAAGGAATTTCTCCATACGGTTTTTATAATCCACCACAATTTAGGGCATTTAAACTTCGTTGACGCCCATTTCCATTAATCTGCCCATATCTGAGGGTTTTGTCTTAAGGTTAAAGAGAGATGTCTATGTATATTAATTATATTGGATAACAATGGTTAACACCCGCTATAGATTTTGCGGATAAGGTCAATAATTTCTGTTTTTCGTTTTCGCTATTGTGGGGGCAAATAAAATGAAAACCAAACCATGTGAAGGAAACCAAAGACACAAACAAAACCAAATAAATTTCTCATAAAAAACAAATTTATTTGACCATCGAAAACGGCATCGAAATATGAAATCTCATTAATGCAAATTGGTGGCATCGCATCGGATTGGTGCGTACGGTTAACTGTCTTTTGATTGGCATATCTTCAAGTTTAAATTGTTGCCAAATCGACTGCTCCCATATCTCCATGAAAAATATCTATAAAATGACTATAATTTATAATGCCATAATATCCAACAGCTGCTGACAACGGAGGTCGTTTCCAGCCACCGATACGGCAGGGGAGGGCCTCTGGAGGGAGGGCCCATCACATTTTTCATAATAAATAAAGTTCAAGCCTCGGCAAAGAGTTCAATGATTCATTGAGTGAGTGTCTCAGGGAGGGATTGCGTATTACAAAAGTTTTCCATAATTTTCATGTGATTATTGATTTTCTAGCATGCCCCCCCCCCCCACCCCCCGAAAGTTTGTCTGGAGAACTAACGTGTTGAAAGTTTGGGGCTTTGGGGCTTAAAAGTCGGTTCAGGCTGGGTTGGCAAAATGATTGATTGCACGTGGTGGGACTATTGGGAGGCACTGAAGGTTTAGTAGGGCTATATATTCCACACTGCTGGAATATGTTCCCCCAAAAGGTCTATAAAGTAGGGCCAATGAGTTCTTTAGGTATTTCCGAAGGAGAAAGAAAGAAACACTGCCCTGCAGACCCCTAGCTCCTTCCAAGGTAACACTCAAACTTCACCCTGATCTATGGCATATTGCTGTTTTGCATCCCTGTTTTTGGGTTTGGCCGCAGACTGAAACACCCATTTGTTATAAATAATTTGTCTACGCTTCAATGGAGGTGAATGGGGGCTGTGGCTGGCTGCTGCCAAGCCTCTAATCAATTTTCAATCAATTAAGAAACCAAACGCCAGGCCAGGCCAGAAAAATGTGGGCCACAGAGACACAAAAGAAGTGTCGGTAAGAGAGTATTACTTTTAAGTTGAGTTTCAGTCTGGGCTTCGGTTTGAGCCGCAAATGCAGTAAATCAAGTGGCCCGTCAGGTCCGAGGCGTTGCTCACATAGATCATTCGAAGACAAGTGGCTCCTCTGTGGCGGCATGACCCAAAAAGCCACAGAACTCTACGCCTTGAGAACGAACGCATGCCGCATGGTGCATGCTTCAAGCGTTCTACAATGAGCCAATGAATCTTTTGCCAAGTTTTCTTGCCATTTGTTGCTTTGCATAACTTGAAAATTTATTAATCGACTTATTTGCACGCACCAGAGATGTTGGTTTTTCTGTTAACATGATTTCAGCTACAACATTTTCATGATGATCATTCCGGGGGCTCCAAAAACACAGAAACCGGTTAAGACATCTCCATCTCCAGACTCTTGACTGCTTTTTGCCCTTTGGCGGTTTTTAGAGGCGAAACTCTCTGGCATTCAAGGTCAGTCTGGCATGGGCCCATTGCATTGAACAGCGAGAAAAATATGTTTAATAAACTACCATAAAAACAAAAAAAAATGCAACCGATTATGCGACGCGAGGGGAATCTCTGACCTTAATCGATGACACAAGTTTTTGGGATGCAGTTTCGTTCGTTCGATTGTTCGGGGCTGGGCTGCGACTGCATGAAATTGTGAAATTTCTTTCGTGCTTGTGAAATCAAATATTTCCATAAACCAGGCATAAAAAAAAAAAAAAAATGTCAAACAAACATTTTTAATGAACGCCCAAGCCTGTTACCCGGCAACAAATATCATCAGAGACAACAAAAGAATTATTAGAACTTGGCAAACTTTTGTAACCCACCAGAGATCTGAATCGATCGATAAAATTCGATTGGGAAACAGGTCGAACCTGATGTGGCTTTAATTAGCAGCAGCGTCTAGAAGTATTCTACCAGAGCAGAGCCAAAAGCTGATGGAGTTCATTCCTCAGACAGATCAAATCCCTCTCAAACAATGATGGGAATGTACATATACGAGTCTACTTCCTTCCCCTTTCCAAATCGGGGCAGATTTATGGGAATCATTAAAAAATAAATACCGTTTCATGGGTACATCTCTTTCGGGAGTGACATCATATTAATTTTAAATCGAAAAGAAGAAAAAAAAAAACTTTTACTTTCAACTTTTGGCATTTTGTGGGCACATTCGCATAACATTTTTCGTTCAAGCCAAAGACCGAACGAAGACTTCCTCCTCTGCCCACAACAGTCTTTGTCTCTGCTAATCGCTGTCTGGCAATCACCAAAAAACTCATTTGCATTTCTAGATTTTTCATTAAAGATACACGCACAGCACACACACACACTACACTCTCTATATATCTAAATATCTATAGATTTTGATATTAAAATCAGCCAAGAGATTCATAAATTAGAGCCAGACAAACCACAATCTGTTTGGTGTCTTTAAATATCGAAAGTTGGGCAAAAAAAAAAAAACCCATGGAGATGGAGAGTTGGCAGAAAGAATGCCTAGAATGGATGGGCAATAAAAGTGAATGGGACGTGGCTTAGAGTTCCATGAACTCTTACGTAAAGGGTTCAAGAATAGAACTTTGGAGCAGGGAGGAAGTTTGAAGGTTTGTCCAGCTCTTCAACAAATAGCTCTCCCGTTGGGCTCTCCAACTCCAACATCTACCAAGTTTCATACCCCTGGTTTCTTTAGTTCTTTATGTTCTTCAATCTTCTATTTGGTCTTCCGCTAACTGTAAACTTAATCCATGCAATGTCCCACATGTTTAATACTCCCAACACTCTCTTTTACAGCCGAAAAAATCCCCCTTATTTGTTTCAAACTGTTTATGAATGCCAGACACTCCACTCATGAGTACATTTTATGACTCGAACTCAACTTCTTGCCTACTACTGTGTCCCATCGGATTAAATCTCTGCCTCTCAAATTGCAGATGAAAATTCCGCGCACTCTTTAAAATTCCACAAACAATCTTCAGCTCTGGAGGGGGAGTGCGAGTGCTAAAGAAATCCCAGAATTCTGGGCCAAAACGAGACGATGGGCCCCTGTCAACGCTTGTTGCCGCAGGGCATAAACAATCTTTTACTCCTACCACATTTTTTTGTTCGTACGTGTCTGACAGAAATAAGCCGCATGCTGTCGTGATAAATTCTGTGAGCCACCAGCTTAACCCCCAAGCCCAAAAGAAGGGGTCAAGGGACCCCAGAGACAGAGAGAGCGAGAGAGACAGGCTTTTGGCAGGTGACACAAACCCAAAGCCAAAAACAATTTGGTTTCTAGTGCGAAATGGAGATGCTATCGCGGCATCATTATGACACTTTATATATACATTTTGGGGGTATCTGTATCTTTTGGGACAATTAACATGTTTTGGTTGGGTATTATCTAAGAATTTGCTGGGGTCTCATACAAATTAACACTCTTTTCGGATAGTTTTTTTTTTTTTGTTGGTTGTTAATGAAGCAAGTCCTTGACTTTAAATATCATGACTTTCTCAAACGGAACTAAGGCTTGGAATAAACACCCCAATCACCAATCACCAAACCCCAAAGTAACAAATGATTCAAAATCATTTGCATACCTTCCGATAATATCATTTAATACAAATTTATCTGTCACTTTCGACCAGAAATTCGCTTTTGTTTGGTTTCTTGTTTTTTTTTTTTTTTTTTTTTTTTTTTTTTTTTTTGTGCTGTGTCGCCGCATTTTTGGCCATTGACGCATCTCCTACTATGCAAAAAGCTCAACAAATTACGAATATCGATTGGATTTCAATGACAAAAACTGGGTAAAAACATGGGCAAGACGTTTTGCGTTGCGGCTAAAACAAATAGTAGGGCTACTCATCGAGAAACGCTTACGAAATTGCCGGTATTCGTCTCTTGTTTGCCTAGTAAAACGCCGGGCCCGATGAGTGCCATTGCTATTACGCTATTCCTATTCGTACAAGCCATTCATTTACCCCCCTACTCGCTCGTACTCGTACTATAACCATTCATTTCCCTTCCACTAAGTTGCATTCAGGCAAATACTCCGTACTTGTGCAAATAAACCGAAAATAGTAACAAAATTTGACCCGGACTTGTTGTCTGTCTGCTCATAAATTTGTAATACAAGCAAATGACATCGTTTCTGGAATGAAAATCGGAATCGGAATCGGAATCGGAATCATTCGTTTGTGAGCTATTGAGCTCGACAAATACTTTGCCGCATTTTGCTGCATTCTGTTGTGCTCTCGAAGCCTTCAAAACTCTACGGCTGGTAGGTGTTGCCATGCATAGTATGCCTTTTTGTTTGTTTGAAATCAAATATTCGAGTCAGACGCATTTTTTTCCCTCTATTTATTTGGTTTTCTTGTTTGTTATTAATTTTAGCGATTGCCAAGTGTTGAGGACAGACGGAATGGAGTTCAATGATTATTAAAAAAAAAAAGAGGTAAGCAAAGATATAATTTTTGTAACTGTTTTGGAATATATGTGGGTGGAAAAATGACTAAAAATCCACAAAAAAAAATATTGAAACTATAATTTCTTTTTTTAATAAAAAATGATAAAATATTATAGAAATTTCCAAAATTCTTTAATTAAACAAATATATATCTAGTCATTCCTTTGAATATCCAAATATCCTTCATTTACACACCCAAAACTTTTGAAAGATTTAAAAAAATATATTTCATACACAAAAAAAAAATTATAATTAAAAAAAAAAAAACTCACCATGCAACAAACTGCACGCGCCATTTTGCAACGAATTTTTTAAGGGTTTTGTTTTATTTGACACAACGCAACGCTCCAGTAAATATTTATTTAGGTATTTTATAAATTTTACAAATGGAATAAACTTGAGTTATCCAATTTCCAATCTTGAAAAAAAAGGAAGAAATATTCATTACATTATTGAACACAGATTTCACACTAGACAGTTTTTTTTTTTATTTTTTCCTTATTTCTTTTTTGTTTATCCTTGCAATTAGTTTAATTCTTTGTGTTTTTTTTTTTTTTTTGCATGTGAGATGATCACGGATCTTGTGAGATCTCTTGGGATCGTTTGAGTATTTATTTACTTTGGGGAGCCTAAACTAGAGCTCATACCGTGGTGACCGATCTGGACGAACTGAAGATGAACGCATCGCGTCTTAGCCATATAAACCAAGAGGCAGACGCAAAACGAAGCAAAAAAAAAAACACGAAACACAAATAAAAAAATAAAGACAGACTGAAATCGAATTTCAAGACGCGCTCAAAAAAGTGTACTTGAAAGCAGCAGCGCGACTCCAGAGGCAGAGCCAGAGCCAGAGCCAGAGCTGGCGTTTGTGGCTTAAAGTGCGTGAGTGTGTGAGTGAAACGGGTTTTAAACATATGATTTGTATACACTGTAAAGAGGGTGTTATGATTGAGATGATGGGATCAATATCTGAGTCTCTAGAGGCATCTCTAGCATATCTTTGGGTACATATGGGTACCCTCGGTAGCGTAGGTACTTATAATAGATAGATCAACGCTTGGCTTCTATGGGGACTCTTACTGCAGGTCTTCTCCAGACCTACTCCATGTCCTGCTTCCGATTCAGAGCTACTACAGAGCTTCTACTGCCTAATGCCGAGAGAAACAAGACTTTTTGACATAAAGTTATTGGTCTCTAAAGATATTTTCACTATTTATTACAAATTAAAGACCAAATTTGATACAAATGGACTCAAAAGCAGCAACATATCTCTCCCAATCTGCAATATACAAGCCAAAAGTAGAGTAATTCTTCAATAAGATCCTACTTTTTTGGTCTAATTTTCAAGGTTTTCTGTGCCACACACGATCCAAAGGGTTTGCCTAAATCACACATATGAGGAATCATAGGAAAGGGTATCTCATATTCAATGCCCAAAGCGTACATTCGTGGATTTTGTTAATTTATTTGGCCAAGCGCCGAGGAGAGATGAGCTTGAACTAAGTCACAGCCGGAACACCGGATCGTATACTTGATAAATCTCGCACTTCTCCGAGCAACACTCTCTCTCTCTATCTCTCTGTCTCTGACTCTTTGGGATCCTCTCTCTCTCGGGGAGGATCTGCTTGCGTGTCCCAAGAATTTAAGTTCACTTTCAGGTTATTCTTTTTTTTTGTTGGGGTTCATTAATATTTAAAGATTGCTTCTTTTTTTTGCCTTTATTCTGTTCTCTCAGTTTTCGATGTTTTATTGTTTTGTATTTTGTTTGTCCCGAAGAACGTTTTCAGTTCTTTTTTTTAATTGAAAATTCGAGTTTTTCGTGTTTTAGTTTGATTTAAGTTTATTCCTAATCGAAAAGTGATATTTCAGCTATGGATCGATGGATGGATAGATACAATATTTGTTGCTATTTTCTGATAGTTCTCTTACTATTTAGTTGGTTTATTGATTTAATTAAAGCTTTGGCTATCGCAAAAGAAGAAAAAAAACAGCATAAACGACTGGCTGCACGAGAAATCTATTGATTTCCGTATACTAATTTTGTTCGTTCCTTTGATATGCAAGAGGCGGCCATCATTATTAGAATTAATCATGGATCAATGGTGTTTCTATAAATGTATATTTTCTATATTTCTATATTTTGAAATGAACTCAGAGGCGTGCACAGCCACACACAGTAGCCACAGAGGAGATTAATGTTTAGAATGCCGTCTAGTCTAGGAAATTGCCCAACTTCTATATTTGTAATCCATTTGGCCATAATTGAGACACCTTTTCCGACACGTTTCCGTTTGATGATCCGCTTAGATGCGGCTTACGAATGTTTTCTCGTCGAACTGCCTGACATTTAACGCACTTTTGTGCGGATTAATTTACGGTTTTAGCTGCGGGAAACGTTTCTCGGCTGCTCTTGAGGACAGCAATTGACACAGAAATTAATCGGCCTCTTCTTCGGACCGTCTCTGGGGCGCATAAAACAGGATGAATTTAATGACAATGCTTAAGTCAAGGCGAAAGAGTCGAATCGAATATAGTACAATATATTGTTAACGATTTAAATGAAGAAAGAAATCGCCTCTGGGGGCGGGGGACACAGCATGCAGCGCAGCTGGGGATTGGTACGAGATCTGCATGCACGTGGGTTTTTTAAAAGAAATAATGTGCCAAAGGCTATACAGATCAGGGACCCACGTTCGAGGCTGTTCAGGCAGAGATATAGGGAATATTTTTGCGAAGAAATATTACACAGTAAGGAATTGATTGCATCATTGAAAGCCAGTCATTCAAGGATCTAAGGAGTCCTCCTGATCCCAGGCTTGGAAACCAAACCATCTAGAGGTGCCCAAATTTCAGCTGGCATTCCCCCACTATTATTCAGAGGAGAGCTGAATCCTTGATAGAAATACCCTGGATGTTCTTGAAATTCCATGCATTTTTAACCCTGAAAAAGCCTGGCATGTTCAGAGCATTATTGAAATGATTTCAAGTATTTTTCGTGCATTATTTGCAAGCCTCGAACTGTGCCCCAAAGTGGCTCAAAAGTAAACCATTTAAAAACTGATATTGTTTCTTTTTTAACCGAGCTCTGTTTTAACTTTAGTTCATATGTAAATGCATTTTTGACAGCTGTTTCATTGAGTGCTAAATTATTAAGCATAATTTCGAGATAATAAAAAAAGAAGCCAACGCCGGCAGCAAAAGTGAGTCAAGTGTTTTTGGCCCCGGCAAAAAAAAAAAAAGGGACAAAGAAATGCTGTATAGTATATTTATATTTAAATTGTATTTAAAGCCAAAATTTAAGCTCGAACGGAATTTAAATATAGTATACGTTTTGCCTGATTTTGCGAATTTTCAGCGCCCACACATTTGTATGATCACATCACATCACACACGCATCGAATCCACACAATATACACGACCGGAGGCTGTTTCGGAAACGACCTTTGTGGAGAACAAAACCACACAGAAAACCCAATAGATATTTAGCTATCATCAGTCGCAAAACAAGTTAAATTTTGAGTTAATCAAAATTCATAAAGTGGCAGAAATAACCGACCACAAATCGAAATAGAAGATATGTTTTTAACAAGCCTCAAATCTCAGATCTCAGATCTCAAGTTCGATTTTGAACCCCCCAAAAGATGATTGAACAAAACAGAATTCGAGTCAGCTAAAAGCCACGCAGATTGGCCAACATTTTTTGTGACCAAATTTAGAAAGCCTACCGCCACCATAAACCAGAGACGCCGAAAAGTGTGGCAGGCAGCAGCGGCTGGGGCAGGGGCAGGGGCAGGGGCAGGGGCTGTGTAAATACCAAATGTCACTTGGCTTGTGACTCAAGAAGCAATCGGTCGGTGATGCCTGGCTGCGGGAATGCAAAAAGCGTTTAATCGGACTCCATAAATCGTTCAACCGCATCGAATGAGTCATGTGGATGCGCGCAGGGCAAGTCCCTTGATCCCTGGTGTTGCATGTGGCATTCGTTGACCTTCAGTGCGGGAGAGCCACGCAGTGCCAGTGTCCCTTTGCTGCTGCTGCTGCAGCTGCTTCCGACTCCGGGTTGCACGCATCATCGGTGCTGATGCTGAAAGCTTATGTAACCCCAAGTTGAATGACTCTCTGCCCCGTTGCCCTTGTGGGATCGCAGAGTTGAAATCAACTATGAAATCCTGCCTCACCACAGCTCTCTTTTATTTCTCATGGTGTTCTTTTTGTGGCATTTCCGGGCGTTGCTTTGGGTTTTTGCCTTGATTAAAAAAAACGCCCAAGTAATGTCCGTAATCCTTTAATGTCATGCTGCAGCTGCTGAAAGGAGAAGTTTGTGCAATGAATGGCCTCCAAGTGAAAGGGAAACGAATGCCCGAATGCCCCGAATGCGTCACACAGATGCGCAGATACGCAGATACATTTACATCCGCTGGAACATCGTTTTGGGCAGCCATAAATTAAACAAGCCGAGAGCTGCGATTTACGATTTAATTTTATCACATAATTCTTTGGGAACCTTTCGCCATGCTTCAACAATGTTAGATACGGTTACGGTTAGATACGCAGATACAATTATATCTTCTTGAAGTTCTGGTAGAACTTGTGCCTCCATTCGCACCAATTTCGAATGATGTCATTGGGTGTTTCATTAAAAATGCATTAGTTAGGTCTTGTATTAATCAAAAAGTACCACACCAAAGGCCTATGACGTGTTCTGTGGCTGAAACAGTGGAGGACTGAGGGTATCTCAATATATGTGTCTTGTTAAAGAATTTACTAATCTCCCCATCATTTATGGGGTTTTTTTTTTAAGATTTATTATACAATATTTAGGGATTCTAAACAGGAGTGGAGTGGGTAGAAACGGGCAGCAGATACTTTATAACCAACGACCGAGGGGCGCTGCCGCACGTATTAAGCGTTTTCCAATATTTGTATTTTAATATTTCATTCGATTTGTATCTTGAATGAATATCCACAAATTTGCAGGCCCTCTGTTGGGCCCAACCCTTTAGGCCCTCAAAACCGCTCCTGTAACCCCCTCCACTGCCCACCACACAAATTCGTGAGAATTTCACTTGAGCCAAAAAGAATTTGCTGCCAATTAAAACTCAAGATAATGCCAAAAGACAAATGACAGTAGAGCCTCGTCTGCCAGACCGCCTGTCCGCCTGCCTGTCTGTCTGTCTGTCTGTCTCTCTGTGTGTGTCGGGAGTGACAGCCCGCAATTGTCGGTGGCATAATCCCCTTGGCCATTGGCCATCTTATCAATGATATCAGACACCCAGAACTTGTTTCTGTTTCTGTT